TGACAAGCAAAAGGACAACCAGTTCTCCCATTGTGAATAATAGCCTGTGGATCTCAAATTGACTTTTCTTGCTTGTTGACAAGTCCTACAGTCTCTGAGTTTGTCTTCCAGATGCTGATGTGAGTCACTTATTTGACTGTGCAATGTCGGTTCTTGTATTGGCCCGCACAGCAAAAGGAAAAGCGGAATGAATGTTCCTAGTTTAGGAGACAGGCAGCAGAAAATGAAGTCCTTTAATTTTGAAGTTATTGCTCACTGCCATAATTTCTTAAGCTTTCTTTAAATCTTTGTGGCTGGCTTAAGATAAGGGTGCTGCATGAATGTGGCATGAAATATGACCATGTTAAAGAACAAACAAAAATTAGGAACTAATATTATTATTTACATCCAATATGATGATGTTCCTATCACCCTTGGTTTTTGTTTTGCAAGCACAACTGAGGATTGTCAAAAACCCTGTGGATCTTGGTCTCTATGGCCTCTCTCCAACACAGTGACTGTTTAGATACAAGCTGTTGGGTTCTGGTTTTCTTGTTTTTTTTCCATCTTATGAATTATGATGAGATTCCTTCTAGCTGTTTTGTCAATAGGGACTTTTTCAATAAGGATGTGCATTTTGATACACTAATTATGTTGATAAAATGTTTTATTTTTGGTTGTAACTCTAATATAACAAAATTGTTTAGAAGACTCAGGTTGAAAGAGATCTTGAAGATCATATGGTTCCTTCTCCTGCCAGAGGAACTTCTCCATGAAAGATGGAGAATACTCTTCAGGTGAGAAGAGATGATAAAGTCCCAGGGAAAAAAAAAATTAAAAAAAATATTATGGACTCATAAATTTCTGGAATAAATCAAATTCCTACCGCCTGTTGGATCAATGTTGTAAGATTTGAAAGGCAGATAGGCCATGGATTTAGAAATCAGCGAGTGTTTTCGTGTTTGTTTGAAAAGCCCCAAACACCTGGCAGGCAAAGTTACTGGAGACTCCAGTTTAGGAGTGATTTAAAATGTCTGGGTTTAGATTTCCTTGTTTAATAACTTTCCTCTTTTGTAGTGAGTAGGAAGTAAATCTTCTAGTGACTCATGTGTGCCTTAAAAAAAAAAAAAAAGCTTAAGGCTTTGTTTTGGTGTTGCCACAGCAGCTTCCTCTGAGCCTGTGCTTGCTCACTTCTTGGAGTTTCATATATTTTTTTGAAAGGGTTTGGAACACTTCAGATTCTCTTACAACTCTGTAGTGTATTTTTCTAAACAACCTCTGAGTGCCTGCAGATATGCAAAGGCTTTTGTGAATTTACCTTCTGGATTGCCTGGGCATTCTAGGCAGTTTGATTTATGGGCCCTTAGCTGAGTCAGGCTCCTGAGATAATCTGGGGGTGGAAGAGCAGCAGGAGGCACAGGAATACAGTGCTGGGAACTCTAGGGGACCTGGGACCAGCCCTACCTGGGGTTATGGAGGTAGCTCCAGAGCATCCCTGCTCCCCTCTGAACTGCTCTGCTGTGACTGGGGAATCAAATGGTGTAAGAAAGGGCATAACACTGGAAGGACTATAAAGAAAGTTGATGTCTCTCAAGTTTTAGTCCATTAAGGTAATCCTACACTCTGCAACTGAAGCTATGGGTCAATGAAAACATATTACAGTTTGTTCCCCAAACAGAAAGATTAAGGACACAGGAAGCTACTGAGTGCTATAGGCACTGGCCTTGACTTTACCACCTAGCCAATTTGTGCTGTCTGTGGGGCTGCACAGCTGTCGGTGAGAAAACAAATCTTATACAGAAACTCCTCTCATATTATACTTCTTCCTTTCCACCTTTGTTTCTGGGGGGTGGAAGGGGGAAGAAATAAGCCCCAGCCTCTTTAAATATCCAAAACACAGAGTCAATATATATGCTGTATTAATATGGTCTTAGCTGTGAATCCATTTGTTTGTAATTGTTCCTGAGTGTCGAAGAAAGCCAAGGTTAAAAACATCTGAAATGAGGAGGTTAGGAAAATATTGAATATTTTTGATGACAGGCAGTAAAAAGAAGCTCACCTACGGGCGAGACCACCTAATGTCAGCCTTTCTTCTTTAGCACTGATACCCTCAGTATCGATGAGTGACAATAGCAGGCTGATGTGTGGGATTTTTCAAAGGGGAAATCTAATTTGTAAACAATCAACTTCTTAACAAGCTATAAACAGCTGTCTTAACTTCCAGCAGACCTGCTGGCTGATACTTGAAGGGCTAAAAATCACCGTGTTTTCCTAAAACCTTCGTTAATTTGTAGCCTGGTATTCATTAGGACAACAAGCCTCAGGGGGCTATTTATTGCTTATCTTCCCCCCCAGCAGCCCAGGTTTTGCTGTTAGGAGGAGGGGTGCTCAACTTTAGAAATGGGAGGTTCAGATATGTTCCCAACACATGGGTGTGGGGCAAGGTGGGCATGAGTGCCTATAGCAAAAAGTAAAAGAAATAAAAGCAGCAGAAATAAGGTTTGTTCTGCCTTCCTCAGGAAACAGATCATTGATGAGTAGCGTTACCAGAAGCCCTTTTCATTAAGGAACTCCCTACTGATGCTTTTGTCCCATCCGTGTGGGAAATCAAGGAAAACAAGACTTGCCCAAACCTAGAGAGAATTCACAGAATGGCTGGGCTGATCCCAGAAAGTGGCAGCAATAGGTACATCCTTTACTGGAAAACAGGCTGGTCCTTGGAGTGGAAGAAGATGATGAAATAATTAAGTAGAGAGCAATAAACACCTGTGACAGTGGCATAAGCCCATTGCTTTGAGAATGGCAGCACAGATCCTGGAGTTGCAGGTAGTGCAAGGCTTGTTGCAAAGTGCTGTGAGAGAGCTTTAGTGTGCCTGAAGTTTTCCCCAAGAGGTTGTTTTAGTAAATTATAGAGGGAGAGGAAGCAATCCTGGGTGTGAGTGCTGAAAGGTAAAAACAAAAAGGCTGTGGAAAGAAATATGGGATCATTTGTTTTTCCAGCAAGCCTTAGGTAAACAGAAGTTTTCTCAATTAGATTTCTTCTTTCCAATCCATTAGGGTTAATGCAGTTTTAATTAGCACTTCACGTGTATGCAGCCTGTAAGGTATGGTTTAATGTGCCTGTTAGAGATTCCCAACCAAAGTACTGAGAGGAACCGAACACAGATGAGCAATTCTAAGTTTTCTCACACATGTTTTTTGTTTGTAAGTTTCTTCCCTGCCAGCTGTCCCTCATACAAAGGTGATCCTACAGCGGGGATCTCAGTTTCTTTGTGGAAGAGGCAGTACAAAATACTCCTTAAAAACTTGCTGAAAATCTTTAGGTCTGCTCTCATGCACGAGCCTGGTCACGAGCCCCTGGTAGCAGGTGCACTGTTTGGTCTTATTGCTATGGCCACTTATCTTTCTGCATTGGAGCTGAAGATAGCCTGTTCAGCAGCAGTGACCTTGCACTCGTGTTGAATAATTCCTTTCCCCAACTATGCCATAATTATCAACTTTGCAATTGAATACAGGATTACAGTCCAAGAATTCCTCATGAATGCAAAACACAAGGAATCCAGCATTTGTAATGAGTAAGTCTAAAGTAATCTGCACAGGTGGTTCTTATATTGCACCTGTCATCGTGGTATCTGAGCTTCTGCAAAGGTCTGTGATCACATCAGTGTTTCAAGTTTGGATAAACAGACTCCTGCATTCCTTTTGTACTTCTCAAATATGTGGAAATAACAAAGTCCAGGGGGAGCATTTAAAAGGCAAAAGAAAATCTGTTAAGCAAGGATGCTCTGTCCCAAATTGTTTTATCTAATTTGTTTTGAATAGGTGTGTGAATCCATAGATGGAAGTGATGATGGTAAAAACAATTTAAAAACCAAAATGAGTAATTTTGGCACAAACCCAGGAAACTATTGCCCCTGGGGCAAGAGGCAATTTGAAAGTGGAGTACAAAGTGTCAGTATTATGTCTGAAGCCCTACAGTCACTGTCACTCTGTAGGATTTGTGGGTATCTCAGATCTTTGCAACCTCAGCTCTGTTGATCTTTCCTCATCAACCCTGGTGATCCACCCCTGTGAACCCCTGCTCGTATTGCTCACGTCAACCAGTGAGGTCTCCTGATAGAAGCTCTCCCCCTCTACATTCTTGGCACAGGAGCATGTCGTGCAGGTGGAGGACTGAGTGCTTTGCTCCTGCCAGATGGCTGCTTGGCTTTCATGTTGATTAGACTTTACTATGGATTATTGATGTAATGCTGCTGCTCGGTCTGCACAACAGGATCTCATTAATGTCACTGGAACTCTGCACAGGCCCGAGGGTCTATCCACAGGGGTCTTGCTAGCTGCAAGATCAGGTCCTATATTTGTCAGTAGTGGACAAAGATGAATGAGGTTAAATGTGATGGGGAATAGCTTCAGGCAAGTAGTTCAGCTGAGTACTTGGCTAGATAGGTCTTGGTCTAACAGGAAAGGATGCACTGGTTTAGGAAAGAGCGCTAGCAGATTGAAAAATACACTGAGTGATTATGAAAATTTCTCATGTTCCTGGTGGGTAGGAGAGCCTCTTGGGCTACTCACTGTGTTTGCATGGACCAAATCAGCCCTCTGAGCTGGCACGTTAGTGTTGAGATTTGCCACCGATTGTCAGATGTAAGCTGGTCCCTGTGAAGGCATAACAGGGCGAGGAGGTGATGTTAATCCCTTCCTGAGCATACAAAGCTCACTGCTAGAGGAGAAGGGTTAAGAGAGCTAGAACTCTACTCCTCAGCCCCAAGACAAGGCAGACCTGGCCGTCTTTCTCTGTACCCTCGCCCAGTAAAGCCAGATCTGAGTGTAGCTGCAGCTCCTGCACAGGGATATTTCAGCCTTCTATCTCCTAGCACTGCACTGCCCACCTACTGAAGTTGAGGACCAGCCTTCAGCCTCCTGGTAGCCTACTGAATTCTCTGTGCCTTGTTCTCTGGTGGCTTCACAGACTTTGTCACGGAGCCCACCCACTGATGCAGTGTGTGGGAGTCCAGCTGCCAGAAGGAAACCTGTTCATGAGCACCCAGCCTGCCTTTCTTTGGCTGTCCCTTTCACACACAACCTAGGGATGCACCTTCACACTGGGTTTGGGCTCTAGGAGAGCTGCTTTGCATCTGGAGTAAGCTAAAATTTGGGAACCTCCTTGTCAAATTATTGCCTGACTCCAACTTAGACACAACAGCAATTTTAGCTAACTGGTTGGCATTGTTTGTCGAGTCACTCCCTCCTTTCCCAATATAAAAGACTTGCAGCGGAAACAAAAGCAAGGCGTTGGGTTAGTCAGCGTGCAGGCTTGCTCATCACACGCTGGCAGTGCCAATGCACGTTGCTACAGCTGCCCGCAGGAGCAAAGCCCTCCCTGCTGCACGCCGGCGGGACATTTGCGGCGTGTCACCGACACCCTTGATTCTGAAGCAGAAACACGGGTGTAAGCAGCACATTTTTGCATCTGCTTTTAACGAACCGCCTTTCCCTGCGTGCCACCGGGACCGCGTTCGGTTTCGCGTCCGCGGCTGCCGGGCACCGCGCAGGACGGACCGCAGGACGGACCGCTGGCCGCCCCGTTGGGCAGCAGCGGAGCTCCGCGTTCCCGGGTCGAGAGCCGCCTGCGCTGCGCTTCGCAGCCACTAGATGGTATTTGGTAACCGCTGCAAAAGCCGCGCCCGGCTCCCAAACCAGCCCGGCCGCTTCGCCCGGCTGCCAGGCAGAAAACTCTTTCCATCGTTTCTATTTTTTTATTATTTTTATAGCGCGCAGGTGAGCAAAGCTGCTGTTGTGGTAAGCAGCTGAAAGAGAGGAAAAGGTTTGGGCAGGTTAAATGTGACAGTGGTTGATCTCACTTGAAAAGCACAAATCATCTTCCTTTTGGCATTGCGGATGCCATGCTGTATTTTCCCTCCAACATTGTTTTGGTTCGGCCTTCTCTGTCCGAGACAGAAAAGCAGGTCCTACCACACCCAGGGCTTCCAGCACTTCTCAGCATTCCCCTATTGACCTTAAAAAGGGATGTGAGGACAGCTTGGTGTTGTTGAGCAGCACAACACAGCCCAGTGAGGGGACGTTGGGGGGATTTACAGAATCTCAGAATTGCCAGGGTTGGAAGGGACCTCAAGGATCGTGAATCTCCAACTCCCCTTCCACATGCAGGGCCAGCCCTGCTGCTGGAATAGAAATGATTCTCACCTTTGGGAATGGATGTAGACACCTCAAACCACAACCTTTGGGATCCAGCTCTTCGTACCTCTGTTTCAGATGAGCCTTTCAAGCTCTTTTTTCTTGGTTGTTGTCGCTATAGAAGATGGACAGCAATCTGCCTTGAGCAGTCAGACTGATCTTTCCTACTTTAATTGGGTGGTTAGTTGCATCTTTTCTTCCCTAAATTATTGGCAGGAAATTGCGATTTAATCCATTCTGCGCTTAAGAAATTTAATCAATCATTAGAAATAACTGCCAATGATAGGAAGGTATGGTAATTCATGTTATTTCTGCAGACAAAGCACTGATATAAACAAAACATAATTAAACATGCCCTCTTTATACACTTCATAAAAAGCCAGAGTCCTTGGGTATTATAAATCTAAACTTATTTCTCTGATCTTGGGGCATAAAATGTGTTCTGTGAATTGTGTTACTCCTTGTAGGAAAACACTGATAATATTTGCCTCGCAGGCAGCATAAAACACAAAATGTAAAATAAAAATAAGTTATTAATCAGACTAACGGGCAACTTAAATGGAGAGCTGTCTTCTATGTCACATTAAAAATGATAATGAGCAACATTTCACAAGGCAGTATTATTCAAGAAAAAGAGTAATCCATGTTACACACAGCCTTCTCAATCCATATCTGTGCTTAGTCTCCAGGAAGCAAACAAGAAGGACAAGTTTTGTTGCTGGTTACCATGGGTATGTTGCCTGAGGAATACCTGCCTTTCAACATGGCCATACCTAAAACAGGTGTTGCTTTTTTATCTTGCAGCTAACATAGCCCGTGGCAGCTATGATCTTGTTTTTCCAAATTTGCATCTTAGTAGAAACAAAGTTTTAGCTCAATTAAATACCTGTCACAGAGGGGAGGAAGGAGTAGGAGTATGTTGTGACGCATGAGAACATGTTGTGTTTATGAAAGCGGGCTGGTAAGAGCTCTTTTTTTTTTTTTTAAATGATGTGTGACAAAAAAAAAAAAAAAACAACAATGCAGGAAGAAAAATTCTGCCCTAAAGGCCTCCAGTTGCTTGCTAACTCTATGTTGCTTCTAACTTGGAAACCGAGATACAGAATTTAGGGAGGATATAAAAATGAAGTCATGATTAACAAAAATAACAATAATAAAAATACAGTAGGTCCCTTAATTCATCTCAAGGGCCCCTTCGTGTTATTCTTGCTTATTTTTGCAAGATACGGGCCAATTTCCCCATCCCTTTGCAGCACTGTTTGAGTACCCAGTTACTCTGGGTAACACCAGAGTAGCTCTGTGTGCCCTGTCTGCAGAGGTGCTGATAGCCAGGCTGCATGGGGCCTTGGGCTGCCTGGTCTGGTGGGGGCCTCTCATGTGTCTCCATCTCCTTGTTTAGCTCTATATTTGCTTTTTTATTTATTTGCGTTCTCATCTCACTTCCAAGCTGAGCTTGTAATGCATCAGTTTGGGTATATATTTTCCTGCAGGAGAGCATGTTTGCTGTGCACAGGGACGTAGCTGTGATACAGCCCTGCTAATGAAGGCTGGAAGCATGTGGAAGGTGGTGGAAATCCATGCAAGACGATGAGTATTTCAATATTGCTCAGCGTTGTTGCGCAGACAACTAGAAACATGTTAGCTGAATGTTCTTGCAAGGATGCACATGGAGTCTGAAATGCTTCTCACTCTTCAGCCCCTCAGTATCTTTGTGCTACCTTATGTTTGAGGCTTCTTGGGCAACAACGAAGGTAATAAATGCAGCCCAAAAGCTGCCCAAGACGTTCTCAGTAAGAGGGTTTATTGCGCTTTCATAATAGGTGCATGGTGAGATTATTTGGGAGCAGGAGAGTCGCAGAGCATGGCTCCCAGGAGAGCTGGACATTAGCAAGGAACAGCCTTGTGCCTGTACGACAGCCCTGGATCCAGCCAGGCTGGGTGCCTGCAGATCAGCCACGACTGCGGCTCTGACCAGGTGGTCTGGAGGTCCAGAAATTTGAGGAGACCTTTTTATTTCTACTAGGGAAAAATAAATAAATAATGAAGGAATCTCAGAGAAACCAGACAGGAGAAAGAAAAAAAGAGTTTTGTTGAGTGCCTGGGAGGGAGACAGGATCTGTCTGTGCCTCTGCTCATCAACAAAATAGTTTCTTGTCTCCACTGGTACGTTGCAGCAGATATTATATATCATGCAAGCCACTAGTTATCTTTGGGGGAAGGTATGTGAGGAGAACGAGTAGCTATTTGGGTGCTGGGTCTGTAAGTGAATGTGATGGCAGGTATAAATTAAGGGTCTCGAGCTGAGTGTTGATTTACACAGTCCTTGAAGGGAATCACTCTGAACGCAGTCTTGTAAGAGACATGCCTTGAATCTGCATTCTATTTTGTGTCTCAGACAGAAGGAGAAATTCTTTGTTTTGCTGCTGATTATACAGCCAGACAAGACTTGAATTGACAAAAATGTGTTCTCTGAAATCTTCTTTTAAATTGTGATGTATCTTAATGGTCCACGTTTTTAATCAATGAAAAGTATGTGTGTGTAATGGAAAAAATAGAGTTGCCTAATCGACCTTTTCCATCCCCCGCTCCCTGAAATCTGTTTTCAGTTGGGAGATTTGAAACATGGATTTACACACACACACACACACACATATATATACACACACATAAATATATACACACACGTGTGTATATAAAATAAGCATACACAAAAGCATGGCACAGAATGTTGCAAACTGAAAGACTGAAAGTGTTGTTTGGGATGAGGTGGTGAAAGTGTTCAGCTTGCTTTTTTGACAATCCCTCTCCAAACAGTTATCTCCCCAGGATGACATGTCCTCCCTGTATCTTTTTCTTAGGTTTAGAACTCATGTTTTCCAGGCAAATGTAATGGAAGCTGGTTCTCCTTTCTCTGATACAGGCTCCTATCTAGAGCAGCTCTGGAGTCAGTCGAGCTGAACACAGAAGAAACTGGCACATGATATCCAGTATCTACTTCAGACTTAGTGAAGAGTCCTTTCATATATATCGATCTGTAGAGAAATGAGTAAGGATGGTCTGGCTTTAAAAGGAAAAAGAAGAGAGTGAGATATTCATGAAATATAGGCTCCACCAGTGATGTACCTAATAAAAGCTGAGGCCTGACTGATCCACTGCTACAGAAACCTGCTTCTTGAAGATGAAAGAACTGAAGAAACAAGAAGGACATAAGTCCTCAATTAGTTAGCGATTAAGATGTTCAAGTAAGCCCAGAGAACTCTGTGGCAATGTAACATAAATAATTTTGAAGCAGTATTTATAATTAATGTTGTTCATATTTTACTGCCTCTTCTTTACGGCTTATGTGTGAAAATAGCTGGTACTTGTGAGAATAACCTTTTGTGTTTAATAGAAAGCAAAAGCAGATAATCTGAAACCAGAAGAAGAAAATCTGAGGCATGTGCTTCCTATTTACGCTGTTTGTAAAGCTGCATTTGCATGACTAGAAGCATAAATTTTCATTATATCAAACTTTCCACCTTGAGTTCTACTAATGCGTTTCAATTTCTCCTCCTTTTTTTGCCTGTTACCAGCCTACCTAGAGCCCACTAAAGTGGAGGAAAAGCCAAAGTTTTCATCTATAGTTTCTTGCTGTTGCTGGGGAGCTGTAAGGAGACACTTGGGGCAGATGTGTGGCTAACTCGTGTGTTATGGGACATAGCACATAAGGCTAGATCTTGAGAAGGGGTAAAGAGGAAAAAATAGAATAAGGACATGACATTCATTTCCAGAAATGGAAACTATCCGTTTATCAATCAGAATGTAGTGAATTTTTGTCTCCTACTACAAAGGACTGTATAAATGGACTGTATAAGTGTTCCCTTGTGCAATGCATACATTACTCTGTTAGTACTGCTTGCATGCATCAATATTCCACGTAGTTGTGCTGATATAATTAAGTGGCAAAGAGGAGTGAGACTGGAGGCAGGGGTGGAAGAAGAAATGAGGTAAATCAGATGTACATTTTTGGGATAGGATTTTGCCAGAATCACTACTTCTATAGCCTTCAACATTGCAAAGAACAGAAGAGTATCCCTGAGACCACAATTACCTAAACTTGATTATGTCTCCAGTTCTAATCTTATGTTAGGTTAGAAAGAGCTTAATTCCATTCAGACCAAGATTTTGTTGCCTTGGTTTGGATAGTTTGTGTATTTTGCCAGGCTTGCATGACTCCTATCTACAACTGCATAAAGAACTAGACATCGTTCCTAACTGAGATTATGGTTGAGGTGTCACAGCTGAAATTTTGTGGTTCTTTGTAAAGGTTTTGGATTTTTTATTTTGGGAGTTTCAGTCAATTGAAAGCAGTAGGTTTATGACAGCAAAACTTGAGTAGTTTTGAGTTGAAGATCTGGAAGTTTTGATTTAAAGATTTCTTGCTAGACATCTCCCAACAGCTAATGTAGGAAGTTGAGGCAGTTGTTTACAAGTAGTTGGGAAGATGTAAAGCCGAACTTATAAAGGCTTGTGTTTTACAGGAGGCAGCTCATCTAGCTCAAAGTCATTCAGACAAAAGAAAAGTAATTGTCCGAGTTGCTGCCAATTAAGGAAATGATCAGTGTTGGTTCTGTGCTGAACAAATGCTCCTGCAATGGGCATGCTTGCTCAGGGTTTACTGGTGTAATCCCCATTTTCCCTCTGGGAAACCAGAAGGATTTTTGAAAACACAGAAGAAATCTTTCAAGTAAAGCTACTTCACATCATATTGGTATGAAAAGCTCTCTTATTGTACAAAAGGTAATATTGTTGTATTGTGCTTTGGAGAGCTGAATAGCTTAAGGACATAGGACTTCTTTCTTCTTCCCTCACTGGTGTAATTCTTTTGTCAAGCATAATTCTGTCTGATTTCCACCACTCAGACCCAGATTTGTCTGCAATGAATCATTTCAGTCTCCCTCACTTGTCTATGTGAGGCTGAGGAAAAGACCCTTACAGTGTTGTCAGCTTCTGGGTCCAACCAGAGCCACCCACCCATCCTCCAGAGCAAGCCCTGGAGACAGGAGAACTGCCAGCACTTCCCACAGCTATGTCCCACTGAACAATAAAGGGCCCTGCGCTCTAATGATAACTAATTACATTTTCTCATATCTTTCAATCAATTAACTGGAAATGTTTCTTTGTTTAAATAATTGTCTTTTGGTAAATAAATGCGTAAACACTACTTAAAGCATTTTGGGGTCTAATTATACTTATCTGAAAGTTAACAGATTTGAGATGTGATTTGTGTTCTAATTGTTTTAATTTATGGTAAAACATGGTGTTGGGTGCTGATTTTCTGAACGAGCTGATCTCTAACATAAGCAAATGAGAAACTACAAATGATTCTATATCAGGCTCAACTACTTACTGTGCTGGGGCTGCGCTCATGTTGGAATGTGTTTGCTTTTCACCCTGGCCAAACCAGCAATGCAGTGAGAGGAACAGTTCATTCAAATCTTAAAAACAGCTTAAAGATGCCCAGACCTGGCTGTGGACTAAGCGTTGTGGACCCAGCATCTCCACACTGTCATCTGGGCTCCAAGCTGGACCCATGGGGCTGCTTTGCTCCATGGAGGTGTCCTTCCATCCCATTTGCAGCCTCAGAGATCACAGCTCATGCTCAGTAACTGACCCTGAGGCAAGAGAGATCCCATCTAAACCCTGAGATATGAATGCACCAGGCTTTTGGACCTGCTTACCTTTAGGCTCTTTCATCTGCTTGCCCTCTCTGATAGCAGAGGAGCAGGATGTCACTGTGCTTTGTTATTCTCATTAGTTTCATAACATCAGGGCACGTGTGGTTCAGGCAGAGCCTCTGGCCAGCCCTCACAAAGATAAGGTGAATTGCCTCTCACCTCAGCTTCAGGGCACGTAGAGCTACAGGGGAGACCCAGATAAGAGACTTGGTGGTCCTGGAATCCTGGAAAGAGGCACCTGAAGAACCATGTGCCAGGGGATGCTCTGAGGAACACTCCTGCATTGTGTACAAGCGAACAGGGTCTGCTTGCACAATTGCTCCTGTCCTCTAGGGGCTGAGTAGATTGAGGAGCATCTCAGACCCAAAGAAGCATGTTGTCTACTGTTGGGGGCATCTCTCCCTCTCTCTTGACTTCCCTCTAACACAAAAGTAATGACTCTGCAGTTCAGAGCAGTGTTAGGAGGTGAAAGTTGCAAATCTTGGAAGAGGGTCAGGCAGCATGGAGTAAGGACAGCGATATAAAGAAAGAAAACAGTTTTCTGCTGTTTTTTTTTCCCTTCCATGAAACATATCTGTGGGATTTTCTGTCAGGCTTTTCTCGAGATAAGGGGAAAAGAAGAAAAACCCTCCCACACGTTCAAACAGAATTTGCATTCTACTGCATTAAAATTTTTCTTAAATTGCAATTAAGCAATAAATCTTCACCAGTTGCAAAAATAAAGAGAGTGGGGCGGGGGAAATTTATTAGATAATGTAATCTTTCAGGCATTTTTTAATTTCCTTTTAAGATCTAGAATATCAGCCGGAGTCCCAGGTAAAATAGGATTCTAGTTTTCAGCCACAAGTTGCGACTCAACATGCTTAGCTAAATTAAACAGAACAGATGTGAAAAATAAGATGAGAGCTATGCATACAGCTCCCAAGCGCTCTCCCACTGCCCCCATTGAAGAGCCCTGGCTAATTCCCCTGTGTTGACCAAAGCCTGCAATTCGATCCTAAAAGCTTGTCAGAATTAAGTACGATGCTTAATATAAGTTTACATTTTAACTGTTTTTCTTTGATATTTGACAAGGACGTGGGAAGTAGCTCCAGAACTTTCTCCTGGACCAATTTGCTCAAGGTTGCAGTGAATCACACTTCCCCTAGGGCTGCTTGCCCCAGAGACTGTGCTTGAGACCCGGCACCTGTTAGCAGCCAGAGCAATTAATAATTAATTAAACAAATAGCCCCCTTTATGTAGCACCGTGAAATCAAAGCCTCAGTGTAAAAATAGAATTTTAGCTTTTAGGTTTCCAGGAGTAACCTCTGCCCCAGCACTTGTGTGGGAGGTGGAGGGATAGATTTCTGCTTTTCCCTCAAAGAGCAGTGACTTTTTATGAAAGATATTTAAAAATAAAAAAAAAAGAGAGGATTGGAAAGGTCAGCCTTGTTACATCCGTGCTGGAAAACACCACTGCTGCAATGCCAGCAGCCAGTGTCTGAATATTTAACAGCCACAGAGAAAAAGAAATGCTATACATTCTTCTGGGAAGTGGAAGCTTTCAGCTCACATTGCTTTGTGTGCCTTCAGAGATGGAGCACAGGATGTCTTCTTGCTGATATTTTGGTTTCATAGATGACAAGTGTATTGTGGCTTTTTTTTTCCCCCCAAAAAAGTAGCTGCACATTAAGGAGATAAGTGGACTTCAAAGGGCTAACTACAAATCAGAAAATGGAAGATGGCCACACATAAAGCTGTGCTACTTCTGCAAACCCCTTTAGTAGCCAGACAAGGTCACTGATCAGGGTAATTTGCAGGAAAAGTCAATTTCTCAAGTACCCAAGGCAGGTGTTGTGCCATTCTGTGACAATTTACTGAAACTAAATTGAGGAAGTTGAAAAAAGCAAAGGTCATGAACCAGGGGAGAAACCAGGGAAGCAAATCTCTTTGACTGTAGTTTTAACTCCTTTTCAACCGAAGGGTATTTACAAACTACTGAGCCTGTTTTCACTTTATCTAAAATCACACTTGTGTAACTCAGACCTTCTTATGAAGAGCTGGGTTAAAATCTGTGTGCATGATAAGGGCTCCTTGTAGGTAACTCTTAGAATAAAGGCAAAATAAAAAAGCAAACCTTTTCACATTGGAACATTTCTTAGTTTTCATGGCAGCAAAAACCTGTATGAAAGTAGGGGGCATGGAAGTGAAGAGATGAAAATACAATCAATAGAAGGAAGACACCAAAATGACTGCAGAAAGGAGTTAAGGTCTCAGAAGGCATCCGATTGCTTCCATGCTTTAATTGCACCCTATAATGCACTTCTCAGACTTGGTATTTCATTAGAGGATGTAGAATCATTAAGGTCAGAAGAGGCTACTAAGATCATCCAGTCCAACCATAAACCCACCCCCACCAACTCTTCTTGAAAGGGAGACAGACCCAAACGGAACCTCCTCGCTTGAACCCTTTCAGACTCAGAGGAGCTAGACAATCTCAAACTCTTAGGTGTTTTAACTCAAAGAAACGCACAAATTATGAGGAACAGTAAAGTCAACATCTGAGAGCTTAATTAAGGTGGAGCAGAAGGGCAAAAGCTCGCTTGATCTTGATTTTCAGTACGAATACAGACCGTGAAAGCGGGGCCTCACGATCCTTCTGACTTTTAGGTAATTGTGCCACCTTAGTCTCTTGATGTCAGTAGGTTGATCCAGCTGTCAAAATAAGGTAGCATAGAGGTGAACAGGGACAGGTTCCTACCTCATTTGAAGTCTAAGATCATGCACAGGTGTGAGTCAGGGGTAGTTCACCACGACTGTAAAAATGCAAAAGATTTTGGAGTTACAGATCATAATCAGATGATTTGTTCACACTTCCTCAGAGAAGCCTTAATGTTTCCATGTTTCCTCTTGTATTAACTCTCCTCACTCAGGAAAAGATTTAAGGCCATATTTACCTTTAGGCATATCTTAATCCCAGCATCCTTCCAGCTCAGTCTGGATTTTCATCTGGACCCGGATCTTGCCTTGAGCTTTGGTTGGGATGCACTCTGTGAGAACATTTGTTTCATGCTATAATTTCACAGCTCATTGTGATGCTTAGCTATGCTTCTTACTACGTAGCCTAGGAATTTTATGGGGTAGCAAAAGACTGTTCTCTCTACTTGTCTTCAGTGGGCAGGCATCCAAATCTAATGAGGATAAACTTCCCCCAGTCCTTCCTCGAAGGGAATATTTCAAACTATTTAAAATTATTTCAATTATCAGGTCCTGCTTTGAATAGGTAGACAAGGAGTTGTTGACATACTTGTGTCAGACCAGTGGAGGCTGAAAAGGCAGGGAACCACTGCTGGCAAAGTTGCTTGAGTTTGTATGAGTACACACAAGAGACTGTCTGTGTGAACAGCAATGAACAGAAAGTAGGTTTGAATGTTTCAGTGCTCTTTTTTGTGTTTGCAGAGGTGAAAACAGGAGTCAATCCAATGCTTGGCTCTGTGGAATGTAGGTGTGAGCTCAGATGTTCAATTGCTAACGCTCCTAAGAGTGTCCAGAAGCATTTACACAATAATATATTGGTGGGATGTGCACAATCCATTAAAATCATAGAAGAGGAGAAAACTAATTCCACCAGAAACGACCCACAGAGATGAATCTCAAATGCCAAAGAAGATGTTATTTGAGGAGATGGGCATTGAACGGGTGCATACAGTTATTTATAATAGGGTACAGTAGCAACTCTGCATTGTGGATACCTGGTGACAATATGAATTTGTAACAGCTGTGGAGATGTCTGTATTCTGCCAGACCTGTAGTCAAGGCTAGACAGAAGGCAAAGAAAAGACAAACTATTGGTGCTAGCTGACAGCTGCAAGACTTTGGAAATAAAAACTGTTGAGCAATTAAAGATTTAGCAACCACGCCACAGCAGTTCCTGAAATGGAACTCGATTGTTCCAGCTTCTGCATTTTTAACTGCTTTTTGCTCTTTTCCTTATCTGCGGTGACCAGCACGGACCAGCAACGTTGAGCTCCCTGCAGAAGAGCCCAGTAAAAATCAACTTCTTTTTGTCTGAGGCTCTGCTCAGAAACAATCTGCAGTCAGGAGCGCACGGAGCTGGGAGCGATTGGCCTGTTTCCTGACTTTGTTTCTCTCCCACAGTACAGAGGTCTTAGTAGAAAGATTCGTTTAAATACCAAGAGGATGTAATTAACCTCCCAAATGACTCCAGCCCCACTGCTGCATCACTTTGGCTGGCTAAAGATCTCTTTATGATGGAGCAGGTAACTGCTTTGTGTGCCTGGCTATTCCCAAGTGCTGCCGGTCATATCAGCTTCTCGGTCAGACCTTCTAGAAATACAATCTGTGAATTCCTTGTAAGTGCAAGACTATTTTTATTTAGCTATTTCAGGGCCCCACTGCCTGAAAACCAATACAGTTGTTTAACTTTTAGGAAAAGAGCCCTAATCTCTCTAGCTTCTATCCCATGTCTTTTACATCCTGAGACTGGAAACAATCTATATCCTAAACAGTCAGAGTTTCAGGAATGTTAAATCAGAAGGCTCTATCTGCAGTGGGCAAGGGGACATGAGTTAGTTAGTCAGGCAAATAAACAAACACAGTAAAACACACAAATAAAGCCACCACACCTGCAGGAATGTTAGATATGTTAAAAGGGGTTGCATCCCTAGGCGAGCTACACTGGTTCACTTTTCATCACCAATGACCACGTTACACATGCAGCTGGTGACATTACTTAGCCTCCAGCAAGGTCAGAGCACGCCGCAGAGTGAACAGAGGAAGAACTGTTCCCCTGTTTGTAGCAAAAACATGGTCAGAAGTGATTTGAACTCCAGCTGCAACCTGGTCTGCCTAATGATATCTAAGCAATCCCACTGCTGAGGGCTGGCTTCCCTTTCTTGTAGAAGCATCCCACTTCCACAAGGCCACCTTTAAAACAAAGATACGTTTAAAAAATCTTTTTATCTCCCAAAGTTTGTTTTTGTAGGTCTTCCTGAAGTGGACTATAGCAAAATGATTATTTGGTGATGGGTTACAATAGAGCTCTCTGTTACACTTTGCAGTTCTCAGAATAAAGTCACCAGGCTGTGTGGCAGGCTGGATTTAAAGGGGTAGGTTTTGAAGATGTTTAGCAGGACGTGGTTCACTCCAGTGCTTACTGGGGCTCTCTGAAATGTCTGCAAACCCATGCTGAGCCCATCTGAAGGACAGCTGCCTGCCTGACTCTTGAACACAGAGTCATAGCATGGCCTGGGTTGAAAAGGACCATAATGATCATCTAGTTTCAACCCTCCTGCTGTGTGCAGGGTTCACATCTGAGCATGTTCTATATCTGGACAGTGATCTTCAGTGATGCCTCATTATCGATCAAAGTGAATCTCCAAAAGCAAGAGAACTAAACAAGGAATTGAAACATAGGCTGATGTCTTCAAACTGTTTGTGTGAAATGAAGTACAATATACACAGCATGCCTTTGGCACGGAGGTTATTATTTGTTTGATTTCCACTAATGGAGATGCATAAGAATTCTTAAATCGGTTGGTTGGTTTGCCTGAATCTTAGAGTTAATCAAAGGCACTTCCTGAAAAACTTTGCTCCTTCAGACAAACTTTGAGTTTTGACAATCGCTAGAGGGGTTAAAAGAGGCTGTGCACGGGGAAGATAACCTAGGTTTAAAAAAACTATAGTCATCATTGTTCATTTATTCTCTTTATTGAGGTAATTTAATTATCATATAGACACAAACATTTGCTCCCATGCTGGGCTCTTCACATCTGTTAGTAGAGATTTGATTAGGTCTACACAAATGTGCTAGATTATACCATCTAGTTGGTGAAATTCAAGCCACCTGGATATTTTAGCAACATCAATAAGAATAATTCTCTTTTTCCAAATCAGTAAATCCAAGATATATTAAAAAGAATTAATTAATGAGTACCAGATAGGCAAAACAAACATTTGACAATGAATCATATTATCAAAGGTTTTGTGGGAGATCCCTCTCAGCTTATGTTTAGATGTCAAATTATATTACCAAAACTAAACAATCTGTTAAACCGATCTCTTAATGCAATAAGTCTCAGCACCATACTCTCTTTTTCCCGAAGTCCTCCATGCTAACCAGCAGTGCAGCATTTAAGGACAACAGTAGCACTAGTGATAATGATGCCTTAGCAAGTCAGTACCATGAAATAGCTGACTCCTAATATTTTTAGTGTTATTAAGGCTTTCTTTTTTTTTTTTTTTTTTGGCTTGTAGGATGATGGAAAATGTTGATCACTCAAGGAGCCAGTAGGCAAGCGAGTCAAGCCAGAGAGAACTAACAACCTAAGTGTGCATTTCAGGGTTACGCTTTCAGAAAGTGAATGACCACAAAACTCGCATGGAATCTGTAGTAAATGTAGCTTTTAAGATTACACACAATGATATTAAAATAAAAAAAGAGGAGAGAGAAAGCAGTGGTTGTTCACTGGAGGACTTCTCTCAAAATTAGTGACTTGCACAGATGTGCCATTCTTCTTCATTCTTTCTTTGGAAACAAACTACAGAAATTAAGTTAGGTGGAGTATTTGTTTGGGAAAGAGAACTTTCAGCTGAAGTTGGAGAGAAGCAGCCTTCAGTCTGGAAGCACTTATGAAGCATTTATGAAAACACTTTAAGCACTTATGCAGCCACAGAAGCCTTTGCATTGATTTTTAGCAATTTCTTCTGAATGGGAAAGGTGAAATGCATGGCAGTCAAACTGACAACTGGGAGCAGGTTCGTAGACTGCAGTACATGGGATACCTGTGGGTTCCTGGGCACGCATGCATTGATTTGCTCCCAGTGGTTCTGTCACAAAACATCTAGATGAGCACATATGCCACTGGTTTGTTTTCATCCTTGCCTGACCAAGACTGATCACAATGGGCAACGTTCAGCTTTCTGGATGAAGATCTCTCTGACTTGAAGGCTCGTGGCCATGACCAGCTTGGGCTGTTTGTCTAGGCACAGTCTTGTCAGAAGTGGTGTTAAGGCTTATGCTATAACTTGTCACTGCAAGAGTGAGTTGGAGTAAAAGCTTTCTAAATCCGTATAATCGTACTTAATTGTTTTCTTAATGAAATTATTTTTAAAAGAGAACAATTGAATGACGATGATTCAGTCACAAGAATTTGCTTCTAAATCTCAAAAGTAGCCTCTTTAGGAGGATTTATTATCAGATGGATGTGTTTTTACTCTCAGGTACTTAGATGCTTATGAAATGTGCCCAGTATATAATCATACCTAATGCAGAGAACAACCACCATGTGGCAAACCCATCTTCTCACAGCCTTGAGAACCCAAAAAAAGTCACAAGGCTTCCCTTGGCCTAATATTCCAAATTAATATGAGAGAAATGGGAGTTACGTTTGTGAATGCATGGGTTTTTGACCAATACTAGGGACATTCATGGGGCTGAAGGCTTTGGCAGAAGCTGTTTTTGTTGATGATCAAATTGAACTTAGGAAAGGGATTAGATTTATGGACAGTGACTTGTGCTCTTGGTCTTCTGCTAATAGTAGGCTGGAGTAGAGTCTACCCAGATAGCTGCTTTCTGCTGGTTTTCTGCTAAGTTTCTAGAAGGTGAATGGATTTTGTTTTTTCTTAAAAAAAAATATAATAAAGCAGGA